AAAGAAATATAAGATGCATGAAGTTAACACAATAGCTTCATACTTCTTATTTCTTCTCATAGCTTCTCAAACTAGATAAAGTTTGATGTTCTTATTGTTTCTTGAGTCCTACAAACACCACGAATATTATTAACATGTGAAACCGCAAGCCAGAAAAGAAAAATAAACGATCTAACTAGAAGAAAATTATAGGAAAACCATGTGAGAGATAACAACAACATACACGAAAATGAGAGAATAAGGAAAAAGGAGAATACATTTATGTAATGTAAGAAGAACAAGATTAACGGTCATACTATGGAATATGAATACTAATGATGAAGACGAAGAAGAGGAAAAATGGGTTCTAAGGTTTTGCTGTAAAAGATATGGTGTTACTATCAAAAAGCGAGTGTTAATTCACTTATATATAAATATACTCACAACAGTTTATAATTCCAACCGTGGTGATATATGTAAATTTGTCACTATAGTTTAACATACCAACCGTAGTCATAACCCTTTAAATTTCTTATAAAATAAATAAAAAAGAAAAGGCATGTCTTAACATTAAAGAAATAAAATATATGAGGACGTTGAGGTTCAAACCCATAAAAGCTTGATGGTATCACCATGGTTGGTGCCTCAACCGTTGTTATATATAAATAATTTTTAATCAAAAACTAAAATAATATGGTAGAACCTTAGTTTAGATATGTCACCACAGTGTAGGGAAGAACCTTGGTGACCATGGAGTTGTTGTTAACATGTTTTGTAGTAGTGAGGTTATGTATGAAGATTCAAAGAAGAAGAACAAAAATCTAAAGAACAAATTGAAATCAGAGAATTTTTATGGAAATTTGAAGATGTTATGTTTTGTCATCTCTTTTATGTTTAATGTTTACTTTGTTATAAAATGTAATTGATGAAGTACGGTTTGAAATGCATTATTAATGTTATGTGGAAACTGTAGACGCGATGAAATCTATGTATTGACCTTGTTTGTTAATGAAATGTTGGTTTCAGAATTAAATATCCTCTCGATTTTGGAATAAAACTGAGGGATTAGATTAACTATCCTCTCGGTTTTCGAATAAAACTGAGGGGTTAGATTACTTTATTTTTAAAATGGTTATATTGTTTTACCCAGAATATTAAAAATACAGTATGTCCAGGTCCCATACAAGTTGCTAGAGATCCAATATTGGTTGTTGTGCTATCATTATCATTGCATCCAAGATTAATTGTTGCACTATCGTTATCATTTCCTTCACTAGTGTAGACAATGTGTTTAAATGCATCCAACTTTTAATAAGGCGTTTGTTACAAAGATTGGAAACTGTTTTTTCTGCACTTGCAATCTATTAGTAACGACGAATATATCATAGTTTTGCTCAGTTAGAATAACATTTTTTCAGTTTTGCAATTGTGATCGGTGGAAATAGAACTGATTGTTTTGAAATGTTGGTTCGCGTTTGCGTTTCGCAAAATGTCGCGGTAAGCAAGAGTCGACATCGTCTTTTATTTTCTCCAACAAGGAAAGGACAAAAGCACAGCAAAATTCCTTTTCGAGATGTTTCTCGGTTCGGGAGGTAGATTATAGAAAGGGAAGGTGTTAGAACCCCTTTCTATCCGTGGTTATCCACGGGCTCTTAGGTACATGCTCACTATGTTTTCAAAAATGTTTTTCTTTTCTTGTGTTTGTGGGTTTTGAAAAAGTTTGTTTGAAAACTTCGATTTAACTCTTGTATCTGTCCTCAAGAGTGTGCGAAGTGTTTGTTTGAAAACTTTTGTCAGAAAAGTGTAGGTGCGAAAAGTATTTTTGTTTTGAAAAGAGCAAGTATCTAAGAACCTCTACCTACTCAAAAGAAATTAAGTTGTGTAAATGTCCTTTAGACAGTACTATCCCACTATTAAGAAGTAGGTAGCACCGTCGTTGGAGTTTTTTGGGTCAATTTGATTATAGGGACATGTGGTCACCAAAGCAATAGTAGGACGCCTTAGCGGTAACCCTAATGTCCTAGACCCTTTTTATCCGAGGCAACCATTTCGAGGCAACTTGGATCTTTAGACAGGAGGGCGACCTCTAAAACACCCTATACTCAATGACCACGTCGAGGCAACCAAGTGAGGTGTACCCTAGGAGTGGCATGTGCACGTGTGTCAGGATTCAATTAAATTATCTTCGCACATGTCATGGTGAGCTACGTTTTGATTTTATTTTGAGAACAAGTCTTATCATGCATAGCAGTTAATAATTGCGGAAAGTAAATTACGGAAAGTAAATCTACGCTATTACAAGGCGTCGGGTATTTACATCGCCAAAAACAAACCCTTGGAAAATAAATGAGAGAAAATAAAGAAAGTGATAAAAAGTACTAATTACGCTATTACATCCTCTGAGCAATTACATAAATAATGATCAAAAAATAATATGCGCGAATAGAAATTGAATCGGAGAAGTCCTTAGGGTTTTGACCCTTTTTTGAGAAAGAATGAGTTTTTGGTCCTTTTTGCATATAATTAAACCTAATTCTAATTAATTAAATAAAATAAATATTTTTTAAGTTTTTTATGTTTTTAATGAAAATAAAATAAAAAAATAGTCATAAGTTAGTAAGAACCCTAATTCTAATCTATTTTATTTATTACAAAAAAATATTCAAAATTAACTCTAATTAAACTAAATTAATTTGTTAGTATTTATTTACAAAAATAATAAATTAATAGTGGAATTAATAAATAATAATAATAATAATAATATTTTAATTTTCTGAATTTATTATGAAAAGTTAATTTGGTTAATTTTAGTGATAATAATAATAATACTTAATAAAATAGTTAAAAGAAAATATGAAAGAAAAGAAAAAAAGAATGAATGAACTAGGGGGGTGCTGGCCCATTAAGGAGGTATCCTTGGTAATTCTCAGGCCCATCAAGTTGTAAGCTTGTTTGACTTTGGTGATTGTCCAGGGCATTGGTTGACTGGGAGCATGGTAGTCATCCACTTATGACCTTCAGATTGGTGCATGTAGACACTTGGCGCCTGGATATTTGAAGTACATGGTAGACCTCTTTTGGAATTCTGCACACAATTATGTTAAGAAAAATAATAGAAACGTTTTGGGGGACCTGGGATTCGAACCCAGGTCCCAATGGTTAATACTCCCACGCCTTTGCCAATTAAACTAGAACGCGCATCTGATAATATAATAACAAGTAAATATAATATATCAAAACCAACTCATATGCTGCTAACACGCGCGCGTTTTCGAACGAACCAACCACATATCAACACGTCCTCGTCTTCTTCCTGGTACCTGCAATTATAACATTAGATAGAGGTGGTTTTTAACCCCCACAACATGCAATGACGAATAATAGCGACTAGAGCTACAGGCTACATAAATATTTCGCGATGGTTGCTTTGGATTCGTCTGGTTCTCACGAATCCAACCATGTGCCTTACAAGTCCTGATTTTTCTGGGTTTAGAAAGCCCCAAATCCAAAGTTCATGAACCCTAAAATTCAAGCATGGCAACTTTTGATTTTGTGCGTTTTAATCCAATTCAGTTATACCATCAGCTTCATATAAGTTCTAGCAATGCAAAACAAACACAAAATCATGTTAAATATGCATGAATTGAACTGCACGATTCTGAAAATAAATGGAAAACCATGGTTCTGTTTAGGGTGATTTCTTGAGCTTTAACGCTTGATTTTGATTGCTACATGTTCCTCACACTTCCTGCAATATGTTCGAATCAGTATAATGCCTTGAATTGGCTTGGAACATAAGAATCAGTTTTGACTTTTCTTTGAATTTTCTTGAATTGGTTATGGCTTTTTCTGCAGAGATTTCACATGTGCATGATTAGGGTTTGCTTGTGTATTTATAGAGGAATGAGATTAGGTCATGTTGTACCCCAAATTTTGACCTAAGATACCATCTCCCATCTGCATCATTGCATTGCAAGGGTTTTGACATATTTTTATCAGTTTTCAAAGCAGATTTCAAAATTCTTAACTTCTTCAAATTGTGATATTTTTTTTGAGCGGTTGTTTTTGCACATGATTTTTCCCTGGCATCATCTACAACTTTTCTTTATAAGTCAAGGGCAAATTATGCATTGAGAAGCCACGAAAATTGTTAACGTTAGAAGTCATTTTGTGAATTTAGTGAATTGCACTTAATTTCAACCGTGTTACCCCGATTTTTACAAAATCATTTATATTGCATTTTTTTTGTCTTTAATCATCATTAATTTTATTTCATAAAAATCCTAAAATATTTATTTCATGTCATTGTAATTTTTATTTTTAATTCAAAATATTAAAAAATATCATTTAGATTTACACTTTTATTATTATCTCATTTTAATTCAAAAAAAGAAGTTAATGATAATTTCATCCATTTTCATCATTTAATATTGCATATTTTAATAGTCGTCACTTGTATCTTAATTCTTTTTTTATTATTATTATCAACATTTTTTTCTTCTTTTATTTGTTACTATAACTACTACGTTTTTTTCTTCTTTTGTAAAAAATATGGAAATGCAAGTTTGAAACCACAACACCGCTTCACACGTATAATAATTTGATTTTTTTTTCATCCTAAATTCAATTTCAAATTCAAAAGCCAAATTATATTTATCACAAACTCTCTTTTTCATTTGCTTTTTGATCCTTTCCATTTTTGTTGTAACAAAGACCCTGCTTTTGTCTGGCTGCTAAAAAACAATCCAACGGTCAAAATTGCTGCTACAACCCCTGCCTCTAAAATCTCATTCACGGGGGACTGTTCAAAAAAAAAAACCTTGAGAGTAATTTTGGAACCAATTAACTTCTGTAACTTCAAATACATAAAAGATACCACAAATAAAAAAAACAACACAGTATCAACATTCATCAATCATTATCATTACTGCAATATTCATCTTCATTTTCCTTGCATACACATCATACAACAACATCTCTGCTTAAGCATACTCATCACAATTTCGCCAGTACAACAACGAATGCTTGAGAAGTAATCAAAAGGGAATCAGAGAAGAAATAAAACGAATTCAAAATATGCGTACCTGCGTCGCTGTTCTCCGGTTCTCCGTTCGTTTTCATCAAGTTTGAAGAGCCACCGGAGTTCTCCGGTAGGTAAGCCTTACATTACTTATTGTTTCTGCATCCCTGTGTGTTAAGGTCAGTAGCATATAGTGATTTTATTTCTTTCTATTTCGGATTTCATCGTGAACGAGCCGAGAACGTGTTGATTGTTGAGCGCGATGGTTGGAAGTTGGATGTTGCTGTCAAAGATGAAGAAGAAGACGATAACTACCAGGAGGAAGTAGAAATCGCCGACGATTTCGACTTCGTTTTTTTGACCAAAACGAGCTTGAATCTGATGAGGAGCAACCTCAGGTTAATACCGATGAAGAATGAACAAGAATAAGCGATTGATAGTTCCAGGGAAGACCTTGGCTAAGAAGAAGAAAGAGAAGAAATCTTATCTGTGCTGAAGTTTGGTAAATGTTAGAGGAAGGAGATGGTGGTGTTGATGCGTTTGGGAGAGATAACCGTTAGTTTTTTTTCTCCAAGATTTAACCTTTAATTCATTTTAATTGGGGTATTAAAAGATTAATAATGAGGACCAAATCCCTTCACTGTTTTCTTTGTTTTATTAATAATAATAATAATATAATAATTCTTTTCTCTCTTCCCAACATAATAATAAATATAATTTTTTTCTCCCTTTTCCCAAGCAGCCGTCGGCGCCCTCTTAACCTAATTAGGTTACCTCACTTTTATTCCTTCCCTTTTTTTTGACCCGGTGGCCCATTGGGCCCAATTTAATCAATTCCAATTCCCACTTTTTCCTTTATGTTCTTATTAACTCATGCTATTAATGAATAAACAATATTAGCTCAATTGGTAAAAGGTGTTAGCAACATTCTAAGTGTCCTAGGTTCAAGTCCTTGTTGGGACACTTTTCTATCTTTTATTTCTTTTGGCCATAATATTTAACATACTTAATAATATTAATTTAATTTGCTGTCTAATTAGTAATTATTTTTATCTTGTCAACATACTATTTAATTCTTATTTTTATTTTGTGTTGTTGTCTATTTAATTATTCAAAAATATATGTTTCATGATTTAATTCTTGCCATGTGTTTAATTATCAAAAAATCTATGTTTTCTTAATTTAATATTCATGTATTTTATTTATTTATTATTATTTATCTAATTTTTAAGATGCATGCTAGTATGATTTAAATTTCATTAGTTAATTGTTTAATTATAATTAATCGTTAATCCGCACATCTTTCGTCCGTTTCAATCCAAGGGAATTGTCTAATTTTTTTATCGACTTCATGTCATCAAAAAAAATATCGTGCGAATACCCTCATTCATTAAAAACTTAGGATAATTTTCCCAAATATCCAATTTCTTCAAAAACTAACACCTTTTAAGTCAAAACTTCGACATTAGGTCTTCGTATCTTCAAAAACCCGTCCGTACCCCTTTTCGGCCAAAACAATTCATTTTTTTAATCAAACGAACATTTTAATAAACAGATATTTCAAAAGGTTCCTATAGAGTACTATAGATGCATTGGGTGCTAGTACCTTCCCATTGTATAACCAACCCCCGAACCATAAGATCTCTTTTTAAAAACGCTTTATATTTTTATTATTATTTACATTGCATATTTAGGGTTTTATTTCGCTCTTTTCCCTTTTCCTTTGGAAACAATAAAGTGCAGTGACGACTCTTGCTTTTGTGAGACGAATTAATCAATAATTCGATCTCCGATTTACCCCGCTACATTTTTTATCGCTACAGAATTGGCGACTCTGCTGGGGAAAGATTGACCTCTTGCTGGTCCATCCCTAAGTGGGTTATGCCTAATTTGTTTTATCTGTTTTATTATTATTTGATTTGCTTGATTATGTGTTTAAATTGGGGTGTTTGGGTTTTTTTTTGCAAAGGACGAATCCTATACCCGGATTAAGTAACACTTAAGGAATAGGACGGGCGGTATAGTCATGTTAACTTTGAGGGAGTAATCCCGAAGAAGGAGGCATGAGATCCCCCACTCAATGGAAGGCCCTCTTGAACTTAATATTTGTTTACCGAGTAATCGGGAAGACATTATTATTTTCGACCTAGGAGCCCGAGAAGTTGAGGACCGTAGAACCCCAACCCATCTTGGCCTTTTTAGGTGTAGCGCGGAGACTATAACGGAATAATTCGGAAGTAGTTGTTACGCGATGCTGCGCTCGGACGAGTTTCTCTTGAGAATATTGCTAATTATCGAGTAATCAAGACGTTGGTAATATCCGAAGGAGGAATGTAGACTCTGGGAACTCTTAGAACCTTGTCTTACAGGTGTGATTGAACCATTAGTACATACCTTTGGGTGGGCTTTACCCTCGACTCCATGCTGAAACGTTGAACCTTTAACCCCATGTGTGTGACCTTGCTTGTGGCTGTTGCATAGCCATGCATTCATGCATCCATAGAACCCTTTTCCCTTGACTTTCAAGGAATTTGGAGGTCTTTCTTTGTAAACGTCACCAGTTTCGTCAAGCTCAATGGATCTTGGGTGTTGATAGGGTGAAAACCCTAATCCACCAAAATGGATGATTGATCTTGATGATAACTTGATCGACGCTTCGATCCAATTCAAAATTCCTCTTCTATCTTCACACTTTGATGTTTACAACTTAATATCTTGAGTTCCGTGAAAGTCAAATAAAAACTCTCTGTTGCATATCATGCATCATCCAACACTTCACATGTCTTCTAAAATTGGATTTTTTTTAACGCATGGAGTGGATTGCCAGAACTGGATTGTTGTTGATGTTCCTGTTGTGATGCACATTTCTGAGTAATGCTTTGTTTTATTCTTTGAAAAATGTCGCTCTGCCCAAGGCAAAAAGTATTTGTGTCGGGCTATGTTGAAAATAAATCCTTTTGCTCTGCCCGAGGAAAAAGAGAAATGTCTGGGCTCTTTGTTTCAAGTATTGCCAATCATAAAAATGTTATTTTGTCCACTACTGTTTTATTTTTCACTTTTTCTGGGAAAAAGTAATGAAAATTAATTGGTAGTAATAGGAAAATAATAACCTTTTGTTTCATTTGCACAAATCGATTTCTAAAATAAAGCATAATCATGTGTGCAGATTAATCCATAACCTAACCATCGAAAACAATGATCCTATGCCCTCTCCCAACTTTGAATTCCCTGTGTTCAGAGCCGAAGAAGAGGATGGTGACGAGATTCCTGTTGAAATTTTCTGTTTGCTTGAGCATGATGAGAAGATCATTCAATCATTTGAAGAACCTGTAGAGTTGGTCAATTTGGGTGATGAAGAAGATAGAAAAGAAGTCAAAGTCGGAGCATTGCTTATCCCTGAAGTTAAAGAGAAAATGTGGGAGCTTCTCAAAGAGTATGTTGATGTGTTTGCTTGGTCCTACCAAGATATGCCGGGTTTGGACAATGATATTATGGAGCATCGTTTACCGTTGAGACCTGAATGTCCGCCGTTTAAGCAGAAGTGGAGAAGGACCTGATCCTGAATCGCATTGGGGTTTGATATTTGATGGAGCTGTGAATTCCTATGGAAATGGAATTGGGGCAATCATCGTCGCTCCCCGAGGTACTCACATCCTGTTCACGGCGAGATTGAAGTCTGACTGCACGAACAACATGGCTGAATATGAGGCATGTATTATGGGTCTCGAAGAAGCAGTGGATCTAAGGATTAAGATTCTTGATATTTACGGAGATTCGGCATTGGTAATTAATCAAATCAAAGGAGAATGGGAGACTCGTCATTCTGGTTTGATCCCTTACAGAGACTATGCTAGAAGATTGTTGACTTTCTTCAACAAAGTGGAATTACATCATATCCCTAGAGATGAGAACCAAATGGCTGATGCTTTGGCTACTTTGTCCTCAATGTTTCAAGTAAATGATTGGAACGACGTGCCTACAATCCGGGTTATGCGCCTTGATAGACCTGCTCATGTGTTCTCAGTAGAAGAGGTTACAGACGACAAACCGTGGTTCTATGACATTAAACGTGTTCTTCAAACTCAAGAGTATCCGCCTGGGGCATCCAATAAGGATAGGAAGACGTTGAGAAGATTAGCAAGCAGTTTCTTTCTCAATGAAGAAGTGTTATATAAGAGGAATTATGACATGGTCTTGCTCAGATGTGTAGACAGACGTGAAGCAGACATGCTAATGCAAGAAGTACATGAAGGATCCTTTGGCACACATGCCAATGGACATGCAATGGCTAGAAAGATATTGAGAGCTGGTTACTATTGGATGACAATGGAATCCGATTGCTGCAAGTATGTGAAGAAATGTCATAAATGCCAGATTTATGCGGACAAGATGCACGTGCCGCCGACCCTACTCAATGTTATATCTTCACCTTGGCCTTTCTCTATGTGGGGCATTGATATGATTGGGATGTTTGAACCCAAAGCTTCAAATGGTCATCGTTTCATCTTGGTAGCGATTGATTATTTTACTAAGTGGGTGGAAGCCGCATCTTATGCTAATGTAACCAGACAGGTGGTAGTCAGATTTATCAAGAATCATATCATTTGTCGATACGGTATCCCAAGCAAGATCATCACTGATAATGGTTCGAATTTGAATAACAAGATGATGAGAGAGCTTTGTGAAGAGTTCAAGATCGAACATCATAATTCTTCTCCTTACAGACCGAAGATGAATGGAGCTGTTGAAGCTGCTAACAAGAATATCAAGAAGATTGTCCAGAAGATGGTGGTAACTTATAAGGATTGGCATGAAATGCTTCCGTTTGCCCTGCATGGATACCGTACTTCAGTTCGAACTTCAACGGGCGTGACCCCATTTTCCCTGGTTTATGGTATGGAAGCAGTACTCCCCGTGGAGGTTGAGATTCCGTCTCTGAGAGTGTTGATGGAAGCCAAACTTTCTAAGGCTGAATGGTGTCAAAGTAGATATGATCAGTTGAATTTAATCGAAGAGAAGAGATTGACAGCGTTATGTCACGGTCAATTGTATCAGCAGAGAATGAAGAAGGCTTTTGATAAGAAGGTTCGACCACGCGAGTTCAGAGAAGGTGACCTTGTGCTCAAGAAGGTATTATCTTTCCAACCTGATTCTAGGGGAAAGTGGGCTCCGAATTATGAAGGACCATGTCGTTAAGAGAGTTTTCTCTGGAGGTGCCTTGATTCTCACCAATATGGACGGTGAAGAACTCCCGCGTCCCTTGAACGCTGATGCAGTCAAGAAGTATTTCGCTTAGGCGAGCTTTTGGTCAGACCAGTCTTGGCATTTGAGTACATTTGGGATTCGAAGTTGTTAGGGAGAATAGCGATCATTGTTTTTGTGTAACCCTTTCTTTCATGTACTATTTCCCAAACTTTTGTAAACCGTTG